GCAAGAGCGCGCGGGATGAAATTTTGACATTTGTTTTTGAAAAACCATTGGTTTTTTGATGTTTTTATGTTAAAATCGCTACGAAAACAAAGGTTTTGGAAGGATTTCGTCTTGCGCGCGCGAATGTCCACTTTACCTCATTTTTTGCAAGGGATTATTGAAGTTTGGTTATGTTAGAACAAGAAATGTCCACTTTAGCTTATTTTTTGCAAGGGAAAACCGCCCGTAACAAAACAACCGGATCCGGACCAACCCGTTTTGCCTGAGACTTCCTCACGAAAATGATGAAAACGTGGCTGCGGCCTAGGCGCGGCGGGGGGGTCGTGCACCAGGGGTCCCAACAACACTTATTCTTTAGAAGTGATAATGTTCAACAACAACAACAACAACAACAACAACAACAACAACAACAACAACAACAACAGCAACAGCAACAGCAACAACAAAACAAAACAAAACAAACACGAAAACAAAAAACGTCCTCTGACTATATTACTTGTTTGAATATTCCTCCTGTAGAGGGACGTGCCTGAGTTAACCCTAACAGACAGCTCGCAGGCGTTCTAGCACGTCCACATCGTGCAGGCACGGCGGCGGATTCTGTCAGGCGTGGCAGTTGCCCGGGGGGGGCCCACATTCTGGAGCGATCGATCGCCGATGCATTGTCAGCTGTCCGCCGCTGGGGCCCTCCCCGAGGTGGAGCTCGAGAGAGGAGCAGCAGCAGGGGAGAAGGAATGGGGAGCAGGGGGGCCCCCCGAGGCCGGCCCCGCGCCAGCAGATTCGCCCGGGCCGCTCGCGAGGCCGTGGCCCTCCCGCGGGGTCCCCAGGGGCCCCTTGTAAAACGACGCGAAGATCGGGACAAAATCGGATCGGGATAACTCGAAATCTCTGATACTCGGCGCGTTTGGAGGATGTATTGGGCGCCGCGGCCGCTCCAGAGCGTTCCGGAACGCTTTGAGAGCGCTCCGGAACGCTCTGGAGCGATTTATCCCGATCCTAGCCCTGTTTTACTTTGCGGACAGGGGCGTTCGTTGTTCGGGGGGCCCTTGCCAGAGCAGCCTCCCGGGTCGGAGGCTCGAGACGACCTCGGGCGGGAGCGCCCGCCACGCACCGGCAACGGCTCCCGTGGCAGGATCGGGGCCAGCGTTCGGGGGGGATTCTCAAGAGGGAAAGAAGCACGCAGACACAAAGCATCGTCGATTCCCCCAAACATATGGGAAGATATGGGAAGTGGGGGGGGGAGATACAAAAACCCAGGAGATCTGGGGAAAAATATGGGGAATCTGTTTTTGTGTGTATGCATTTGTGTGCCTTGGGGCCCCTTTAGGGACGGGCGCTCGGGGGGGGGGGAGCGCGTCGACCCCCCCGTCGCCGAGGGGGGACCCCGCCCCCGGAAGCGCGCGGCGCTGCCCTCGGGGGCTCCTCACCGATCCGTCGGCGACGCATCGCACGCTCTGGGTCGACGTCTCCCCCCGTGGAGTCGGTGACCTTCCTCCTCCTCCTCCTCCTCCTCCTCCTCCTCCTCCTCCTCCTCCTCCTCCTCCTCCTCCTCCTCCTCCTCCTCCTCCTCCTCCTCCTCCTCCTCCTCCTCCTCCTCCTCCTCCTCCTCCTCCCTCCTCCTCCCTCCTCCTCCTTCTCCTCCTCCTCCTCCTCCTCCTCCTCCTCCTCCTCCTCCTCCTCCTTCTCCTCCTCCTCCTCCTCCTCCTCCTCCCGCGCGTGCCCGCCCGCCATCCTGGGAGTCTCTGGCCGCCGCCCTCGATCCGGCGGGGGGCCCGTGCGGGGGACGCGAGGGGAGGTCCGAGGCGGGGGGGGTTCAGGCGATCGCAGACATGGATCAAGGGGGTGTGGGTTAGCGACGGGTCCCGTTTCCATGGGAAGTCGCGGATGTCCGCCGCCGAGCGAGGCGGCGCCGGCCGCATTTGGGGGAGGGCACCTCCCCCGACCCGTGGGTTTGGCGACCGCGCGCCCAATCCATGGATCGCCAATCCATGTTTGCGCGCCCCCGACTCAGCCGTTCCCCCCCGCGCAGAGGGTCTCCAGCCGTTGGGGAGGAGCAGGACTGCGCACACGCTGTCAGAGGCCCCAGCGCGAGCGCAAGGAACTCTCATGTGATTCTATCGCAGACTCTCCGGGTCGATGTCTCCCCCCGTTGAGTCAGTGACCCTCTGCCGTTCCCCCCCGCAGAGGGTCTCCAACCGTTGGTCGGGTATAGCCAGGACCCCGGTTAAGGGGAGCCGGTTAGTGATCGGGCCCCGAAGCCCAACATATGAATTGGAATCACTAAACTAAGTCTGCCGTAGCTGGTGCTTTTCGGGTGACAGCAGTTCTGGTTAGTGGAACGGGGCGGGGGGTGGGCGTCCCCCAGTACAGATCACTAAACCAGGTCCCGTTGAACCCAGTCCTGCCATCGCCCGACCGGGTCGATGTCTCCCCCCGTTGAGTCAGTGACCCTCAGCCGTTCCCCCCCGCGGCAGAGGGTCTCCAGCCCGCTGGGGAGGAGCCGGGAGGAGGGAGGAGGGAGGAGGGAGGAGGGAGGGTCGATGTCTCCCCCCGTTGAGTCAGTGACCCTCAGCCGTTCCCCCCCGCGGCAGAGGGTCTCCAGCCCGCTGGGGAGGAGCAGGGCTCTGCGCGCACGCTGCCAGAGGCCCCCAGCGCCTCCTCACGGGGAGGGGTCAGCTCTGCCCGCTGGCCTGCGGCCCTCCCCTGTCGGCCTTCCTGTTCCTGGATCGCCCGGCGTCGTGCCAGAGCCTTGAATTAAGTCGGGCCTGTCCCTCTGCAGGAGGAATATTCAAAAATAATCAAAAAGTAGTCTGGGGACGATTTGTTGAGTATTTGGGGGGCATGTCTTGGGAATGTTTTGAAAATGCTTTGCTTGTCGTTCAAAATCCGCCTGTAGGGTTCATGCCCGACCTAATTCCAGAGCCTTGAGCACCCCAAGAGCGCCAGGAACTCTCCTGTGATTTTCATGCCACTTGCCCCCCCCGGCACATTCCTTGTTTTTGCACACTTGCTGTCTGTTCGCCAGGCTCTTCGCCTTGCTCAGGCCCGCGCTCCAGATGCCCGCCCCGGTTCGCAGGCCGAAGATCGGGAGGCGGAAGGCGTTCCTGTCGCCGCGATGGTGCAATCGCGGTGGATCGAACTCGTCATCATACAGTGGGGGACCCATGCCAAGAAACACCTCGCTTGCCCACAGGGTGCCCCGGGTTTCTTGGGTTCCGATGGTTTTGCGATGGAAGGCGTGACGTTCCTTCACCAAAAATCAACGGATGTCCTGGGGTCTCAGGGTTGGGTTTCTTGTGGGAGGTTTCTTGTGGTCGGGCCTCCACTGTAGCCGAGCGCTGGTCCCCCGTCCGTCAGTAGACATTTTGGGTCGAGGCCAGTCCGCCGGAAATCGCACAAGAGAAGTGGCCCAAACATAACTGCTGGAGCTGCGCGCGGGGGTCCTGGACCGGCGCTGGCCCCCATCCTCCTAGCGGGCCCAGCGCCGATCCAAGAGGTCCGCGCGGACCTCCGAATGTTGTGCTCACGCCCCTTTCTTGTTCCTCCAGACGAGGCGGTTGCCTGCACGGCAGCTGCCTTAGTCGTCGACGCGTCTCGTGCCTCTCGCCCGGGGCCCCTTGGCGGCTCTCTATGTGTTGGTTCGGCGTCTCGTGCTGGATCGGTTGCCTTTGCTGCTTCGGCGTCCTGGCGGCCCTCTGTGCGGGTTTTCGCGGGCTGTCGGCGCGGAGGGGCCTCACGAGGAAGCCGGCGGATACACACCTGAAGAGATTGCACGCTCGCGCTCACTGGAAGGAACGAGACCGCAGTGGGCTGCTGGCTCGAGCTGCTGGGGGATTACGGAGGCTAGCGGCAGGCGTCTGGTCCATTATGGGCAGCGTGTGCTCGAGGTGGCGTGGCAGCAACGAGACTGCCAAAGAGGGCAGCCGTGGCAAAGGCAGGGGCGGGACTGCTAGGGTGTCAAGCATCGGCGGCGGGCCCGGGGGGGAAGTGAGGAGGGGCGGGCCTTCTCCGAAGGCTCGGAAGTCCCCCGGCCTTCTGAGAAGTCTTCCAGGCCTTGCCCGAAGGCAGAGAAACGTCCTCAGAAGGCGCGCGGGCTTCCGAGAAGCCCCGCCGCCCTCTGAGGAAGGCCTCCTCCTCTCTCGCTTGCCCCTCCCCCCCCCCTCGCCGCCAGCAGCAGGGGCGAGAATGCGGCGGAGAGGCTGGCCAGCAGCTCCGGAAGCGCTGCCGGGAGGGAGGCGCCCCCTCGGGGGAAGCGGCCCCCCGGCGCCGCCGTCCTCGCGGCGGCGGGCAGGGGCAAGAGCCGGCTCGGAGGCCCCGGGTGCGGGGCGACCGCCGCACCCACGGAGGCCGCGGAGGCCCTCGGCGCAGGAAAGATCGAAGAAGAGAAAGCGCCATAGACATCATTCGGGGGAGCGTAAGACCCGGGTTTGCCAGGACTCGGGTTCGCCATCGTTTTTTGACGACCGCGCCTCGGATTTTGACGAGGAGGAGTTTCGTGGGATGTCTGCAGCGGGAGGCCTCGTCAAAATGCAGGCTCGGCCTCGTCATTTTTTTGACGACCTCGTCGGGGATTTCCGAGTCCCCTGTACCCAGGTCTTACGTCCCCCTGAATCATAGGGGGCCACATGCGAACCCTACCCCTACCCCCCACGATTTCTGAGGGGGAGGGGGGGGTTCACTTAAGTCGCTCGGGAGCTCCCGGTCGGGGTGAACCCCACCCTCCCCCTCAGAAATCGTGGCAGGTAGGGGTAGGGTTCGCCTGTGGCCCCATACATCAGCCTCTGGCGCTCCGCGCGGGTTTCCTGGATCTGCGCTGGAGCGCCCCGGCGGCGCCTCTGGCGCCGCACCTGGCGCGCTCCGTGCGCCAGGGAGGGGGGTCCGGCGCAGATCCAAGAAGTCTGCGCGGAGCGCCAAAAGTTTGTGTTTATGCCGCTGCTTTCTTCTTCTAGAATGGCGTACGGACGCTGGCAGAGGCCAGCGCCCTGCTTGTCGGGGAAGAGATGCTCTCAGAAGAAGGGCGCCGTACTCTGCTGAGACTCCGGAAGAAGCTGCGCGAGATAGTGCAGATCAACGAGAAGATGGCAGCGGGGGAGCCAGTGGAGACGAACCAGCGGATCAAGGCAGAAGCGTGGCCGCAGCTCATGGAAGAGCTCAGACGGTTCGGCACATTGACTATGGACGTGCAACAGTCGGGGGAGCGTAAGACCCGGGTTTGCCAGGACTCGGGTTCGCCATCGTTTTTTGACGACCGCGCCTCGGATGTTGACGAGGAGGAGTTTCGTGGGATGTCTGCAGCGGGAGGCCTCGTCAAAATGCAGGCTCGGCCTCGTCATTTTTTTGACGACCTCGTCGGGGATTTCCGAGTCCCCTGTACCCAGGTCTTACGTCCCCCTGAAACAGGGTGTTGATGATTTTGTGGAGGTTGCACCTGGTGCGAGGCAGAGCAAGCTGGGAACGGATGCAAGCAAGCTTGCTCAGCCAGGGCCGGCTCCTTCGGGGCGCAGTGGCACTTGGGCCTTCCGGCTACGGCGGGCCGCGGTGCCGGTGCCGGGAGCCTCAGCGCTAACATCTGGGTCAGCGCCGGCCCTCGAAAAAGAGAAGCACAAGCGGCCCACACGCAGGAGGTGGAGAACCACGAAGGCGAGCAGCAGCGATGACGATCAGGGCTGGGTGGAGGTGGACCGCACGAAGAAGAAGATCACAGTTCCAGAGGAGGAGAAGGTCGCGCGGCAGGCAGCGTTGGCGCAGCGCCAGGCACAGCAGGTACAGAGCGAGTCTTCTGTGCAGTATAAGAGAACAAAGGAAAGCTTGAACTCGTTCCGGCTTCTCAATGAGGCGGAGATCTCTATTGGCGAAGACTTCATTAGCAAGGTGGTTGACGACGCAGAAGCAGGATTGCTCAAGAAGAAGTCCGTTGACCTGACCCCCATGCGCAACAAGTATTTTTTCGGGTTTGCCTACACTTACGGGGCTCAAAAGGAGCACCCAGGCGCACACGGTGTTGAAGCTGTATGGCCACCAGACGAGGTCGAGCCCGTACCTTCTTGGATTCGTGAGCTCCTCATCGAGCCTCTTGAGAAGCGAGGTGTCGTGCCAAAGGGTTGGATCAACAGTGCGACTATCAACGATTACGCTGCGGGGGGGTGCATTGTCTCGCACATAGATCCCCAGCATCTGTTCGACCGGCCCATCATCGGGGTCAATTTTTTCAGCGAGTGCAATCTTGTATTTGGGACAACTTTCAAGTTCCCCAAAGACGCAGCCGACATTGAGTGCTCCACCCCGGTATACGTTCACCATTGTCAGCGAGGGTTTGCGACGATTATGAAGGGCTACAGCGCCAACGACATCACCCATGCCATCCGGCCCTGCGATCTGCCCTCACGGCGCGCCAGCATCATTCTCCGCCGTGTTTTGCCTACAGCGCCTGTGCTCCTCCGTGGCACTTGTGTGCCCCTCCGTGATCTGCCCCAGGTGCTCAGTGGCGCGAAGCCTGACACAAATCCTCTCAAGGGCAGGAGTTCAGCCTCGTCCGACACAGCGGCCGCACCGCCAGCTGCAAACACGCGCAGCCTACCCACGACGAGGCTGCGAAGCTCAGAGCGCCGCTACAAGTCAGGGGTGATCTACAATGTAATGGCGGAGTCCTTCCTCACACAGGCCGATCTGCAGAGTATGTTCGAGAAGATCTGCAAGGATAGCTCTCTGCGCTGGTTCGCAGGGAGGCACATTCTGGATTTCAAAGTCGTCGGGCTGCCGCGGGTCGACTTGCCATTCTCGTACCGCTTCATCGCCCCTCTTGTCGAGGTGTTGACATCGATGGCGAGCCAGTCGATGCGCGTTGGGGAGGAGACGGTTCTCACTAAACTGTTAGTGTGCTTACCAGCTCTCCTGTAGTGTCGGGCCCTCGTTTTGAATCCGCGGCGCCCCGCGTCTCACCTTCTTATCCCCCTCTCCTCCTTGCCTCTGCTCTCTGCATCCCCCTCCTCCTCTCCTTGTCCCCGCTCTCCGTATGTCCATGTCGGTTCACCTTTCGCACGCTTCGCCCCCTCATAGGAAGCTCGAACTATGGCCCCTGTGGGCACATTCGCATGCGTCCCCCATGATTTCGGCACACCCCTCACGCGGATCGCTGGTCCCACAGACAGTTCAATTTTTTGCCCCAATAGTCGCGCGCAGTCACCCCGCCCATTTCGACGTACCCCTTCACGCGGACCGTGCTCCCATAGGGAGTTCCGTTCTTGGCCCAGTAGGCAAACCCCTCACCGCCTATGTCGGCACGCCCTCACGCGGATCGTGTTCGTGTTCTCCCCGCCCATGTCGGCACACCTCTCACGCGGATTGTGTTCACACAGGGAGTTCCATTTGCCGCTCATTTCGACATACCCCTCACACGGATCGTGTTCCCATGAAGAGTTCCCCACCAACGGTCCCAGTAGGCATTTCGCATGCGTCTCCCTGCCAAGTTCAACATACCCCTGACGCGGATCGTGTTCCCATAGAGAGCTCCGCACACGGCCCCAGTAGGCAAGTTCGCACGCGGCCACCGCGCCCATCTCGACACACCTTTCACGTGAACTGTGCTCCCATAGGGAGCTCCACCTACGGCCCCAGTGGACAAGTTCGCATGTGCCCACCCCGCCCATTTCGGCATGCCCTGCACGCGCATCCTGCCCCAAAAATAGGGAGCCACGTCTGCGGCCTTGGTTGGCAGGTTCGCATGCCCTCTTGCCGCCCATTCTTGCACCTCGCTATTTCGCTGCCTCACCTCATGAGGAGCTCCACCAAAGGCCCCAGTGGCAAGGCCAGCACGGTGCCGCTTCGCCCATTTCGACATACCCCTCACGCGGATCGTGCTCCAAGACGCTGCTACACCTACGGCTCCCGGCAGGCAGGATCGTGCTCCCATAGGCAGCTAGCTCTAACTCGGGCCTGTCCCTCTACAGGAGGAATATTCGAAAATTCCCCGAAAAATAGTCTGGGGACTTTGTTTTAACATATGTTTCTACAATTTCTGCATATGTTTTGAATATGTTTCCATACCTAGGCTCTGCCTAGAAGGGTTCTTACTCTCTTTGCTTAAAGGGCCGGGCAATGCTAACCGCCCCGGGCGGTTCCCCCAGTCCCCGCCCCGCGGTTCCCCCAGTCCCCTGGGAGCTTTAGCTTTAGCTTTAGCTTAGCTTTAGCTTAGCTTTAGCTTTAGCTTTAGCTTAGCTTTAGCTTAGCTTTTGCTTAGTGTTAGCTTAGCTTTAGCTTAGCTTTCGCTTAGCGTTAGCTTAGCTTCAGCTTAGTGTTAGAGTAGTTTTAGCTTAGCTTTAGATAGATTTAGCTTAGCTTTAGATTAGCTTTAGCTTAGCTTCAGCTTAGCTTTAACTTAGATTTAGCTTAGTGTTAGCTTAGCCTTAGCTTAGCTTTAGCGTAGCTTTAGCTTAGCTTTAGCTTAGCTTTAGCTTAGCGTTAGCTTAGCTTCAGCTTAGTGTTAGCTTAGCTTTAGCTTAGCTTTAGCTTTAGCTTAGCTTTAACTTAGATTTAGCTTAGCTTTAGCTTAGCTTTAGCTTAGCTTCAGCTTAGCTTTAGCTTAGTTTTAGCTTAGTGTTAACTTAGCTTTAGCTTAGCTTTAGCTTAGTGTTAGCTTTAGCTTAGCTTTAGCTTAGCTTCAGCTTAGCTTTAGCTTAGCTGCAGCTTAGCTTTAGCTTAGCTTTAGCTTAGCTTTAGCTTAGCCTTAGCTTAGCTTTAGCTTGGCTTTAGCTTAGCTTTAGCTCAGCTTTAGCTTAGTTTTAGCTTAGATTCAGTCTAGCTTTAGCTTAGCTTTAGCTTAGTCTTAGCTTAGCTTTTGCTTAGCTTTCGCTTAGCTTCAGCTTAGCTTTAGCTGAGCTTTAGCTTTAGCTTAGCTTTAGCTTAACTTTAGCTTAGCTTCAGCTTATATTTAGCTTTAGTTTTAGCTTAGCTTTAGCTTAGCGTTAGCTTAGCTTTAGATTAGCTTTAGCTTAGCTTTAGTTTAGCTTTAGCTTAGCTTTAGCTTAGATTTAGCTTAGCTTTAGCTTAGTTTTAGCTTAGCTTCAGCTTAGTGGTAGCTTAGCTTTAGCTTAGTGTTAACTTAGCTTTAGCTTAGCTTTAGCTTAGTGTTAGCTTAGCTTTACTGTTACTACTAATGCTGCTTTCCTAGGGGCTCCAACTCCTAGGTAGGGTCGCACTGGGATAATTTATTTTTCGTCGAAAATCCCCCTGTAGGGGGACACGCCCGACTTACAGGTAGCTCCACCACCTACGGCACACTTGAAAGAGCGCGTGCTGTGGGCGCTTGGGGGGGGGGTTCGGAACCCGACAACCCCCCCCCCCCGGGGATTGAAGCGGGGGGGGCGGTTCGAACCCCCCCCCTCCCTATTTCTCCTCTCTCCTTCTCCTCGGGCCGGCGCCGGCGTCGGCGGCGGTTGGCGGCGGCGGCGGGGAGCGTCGATGAAGACGAGGGCTTCCTTCTCTTGGCCGGCGCCGGCGCTTGCGGCGGCTGGCGGCGGCGGCGGGGAGCATCGACGAGGATGACGGCGACAACGACGACGACGACGACGACGCTCCGCCACCGTGCCTTGGTTTTGGGTCAGAGTCCTAATGGATGCCTCTTGGGGTCTCGTCGGAGGGCTCTCGGGGGCCTCTGAAGGACATTTGTGAACTCTCCTGGGCGCCTCTTGGACGTCTCTTGGGGCCTTTCTGAGATGGTGGTGGTGGTCGTGGTGGGCTGTGGTGGTGTGGTTGGTTGTGGGTGGTGGTGGTTGTGGTGGTGGTGGTTGTGGTGGTGGTGGTGTGGTGGTTTGGTGGTGGTGGTGGTGGTGATGGTGGGTTGTGGTGGTAGTGGTGGCGGTGGTGGTGGTTATGGTGGTGGTTATGGTGGTGGTAGCGGTGTGGTGGTTTGTGGTGGTGGTGGTCGTGCTGGTTGTGGTGGTTCGTGGTGGGTTGTGGTGATGCTGGCGTTTTTGGTGGTGCTGGTGGTGCAGTGGTTTGTGGTGGTGGTGGTGGTGGGTTGTGCTTGTTGTGGTGGTGGAGGTGGCGGTGGTGGTGGTAGTGTGGTGGTTTGCGGTGGTGGAGGTAGTGGTGGAGGGTTGAGGTGGTGGTGGTTGTGACGTGGTGGTTTGTGGTGGTGGTGGTGTTGGCGGTGGTGGTGGTGGTGGTGGTGGGTTGTGATGGTGGTGCAGTGGTTTGTGGTGGCGGTGATGGTGGTGGGTTGTGGTGTGGTGGTTTGTGGTGGTGGTGGTAGGTTGTTCTGGTGGTGGTGGTGGTTGTGGCGGCGATGGTATTTGGTAGATGTTAGTTGTGGTGGTAGTGGTGATGGATTGTTGTGGGAATGTTGGTGGTGGCGGATTCTTGTGGTGGTGGTGGCTGTGCTGGTGGTGGTTGCGTGGTGGTTAGTGGTTGTGGTGGTGGTGAGTTGTGGTGGTGGTGGTGGTGGTAGTGGTGGTGGCTGTGGTGGTGGTGATTTTGGAAGCGTGGTGGTTTGTTGTGGTGGTGGTGGTGGGCTGTGCTGTTGGTGGTGGTGGTGCTGCTGGTGGTGGTGCTGGTGGTGGTGCTGGTGGGTGGTGGTGGGCTGTGGTGGTGGTGGTGGTGGTTGTGGTGGTGGTGGGTTGTGGTGCGGTGGTTTGTGGTGGTGGTGGTGTTGGTGGTTTGTTGTGGCGGTGGTGGCTGTGGTGATGGTGGTGATAGTGGTGTGGTGGTTTGTGGTGGTGGTGGTGGTGGTGGTGGTGGTCGTGGTGGGTTGTGGTGGGTTGTGGTGGTGGTGGTGGCGCTTTTGGTCGTGGTAATGGTGGTGAAGTGGTTTGTGGTGATGGTGGTGGTTGTGGCGGTGGTGATTGTGGTTGTTGTGGTGGGTTGTGCTGGTTGTGGTGGTGGTAGTGGCGGTTGTGGTGGTCGTGTGATGGTTTGTGATGGTGGTGGTGGTGGTAGTGAGGCCTTCGGGTCTTCCCGCCACCGTGTTTTGGCTTTGGCTCAGGTGGTGGTAGTCGTGGTGGTGGGCTGTGGTTGTGGTGGTGGTGATAATGGTGGTGGTGGTGGTTGTGGTGCTGGTGGTGTGGTGGTTGGTGGTGTTGGTGGTGGTCGTTGTTGTGGTGGTGTATATGGCGATGTGTGTTTCCCCTCTGCGGCCTTTGGGCCCTCTCTGGTCATCGTCGCTGCGTTCTCGCCGTCGGTGCTGCTGGCCGCCGCCAGCGCCGGCGCCGGCGCCAGCGCCGAGGGGGGGGGGGGGGTTGGACCCCCTCTCCAGACATCGTCGCTCCGGCCGTCGGCGCTGCTGGCCGCCGCCAGAGCCGGCGCCGGCGCCAGGGGGGAAGGGGGGGTTGAACGCCCCCCCCCCTGGGTCGGGGAGGGGGGGGGGTTAGGGGGGAGGGGAGTCCCCCTGGTTCTGATCGACGGCGCCAAGTGTTCGAGGGGGGGGGCCCACCCACCAGTTCGAAACGCACCGCCGAATGTTCCCAAGGCAAGCGCCCGTGAAACGCGCTTTCTCGAACATGTCGACATACCCTTCACGCGGCCCGTGCTCCCACAAGGAGTTCCACCTACGGCCCCCCGTGGGCAAGTTCGCATACGTTTTCCCCGCCCATTCCAGCACATCCCTCATTCGCGACCGACCACAGACCCCAGTGGCAAAGCACGCACGGTGTCCCCCCGCCTATTTCGACATATCCCTCACGCGGATCGTGCTTCCATGGGGAACTCAACTTACGGCCTGAGTAAGCAAGTTCGCACGCGGTCCCCCCGCCAATTTCGGCATACCTAACTATCATGCGGATCGTGTCACATAGGGAGCTCCACCTACGGGCTCAGTGGGCAAGTTCGCATGCCGCGCCCCCCCCACCCATTTCGACACACAC